CTGGACCAGTATGGATTATGGACTCTGATGGTTTTCAAAGCCCATCTGACACCTCAGCCTTCCTTTCCCATTTTGTTCTCCCCACATGTACTATTGTGTGGTGCGGTGCTTTCCCGAATGATGAAACTGACTATATCTCTGCTCACCTGGGGCTCTGTTGCAAGCACCCTCCTGACCATCCTGGCTATCTAACCACATCCCTGTGTATCCCCTAACCCACTTTATTATTCTTCAGAAGACGTATCATGTTGGACACACAATTATTTATGTACGTGTCTGTCTTCTCTGCCAGAGCATAAATTCCAGCAAGGTTTTGATTCCGATCTTGGTAGCTCAGACAGCAAAGAATCTGCCCGCTATGCAAGATGTGCAGGTTCGATCCCTGGGTCAGGAAGATCCCCTGGAGGAGAGCACAGCAACCCACTCCAGTATTCCTGTCTGGAGAATCCCATGGACAGAGGAGCCTGGCGGGCTTCAGTCCATAGGGTCGCAAAGAATCAGACACGACTGAGCGACTAACACTTTCACTTTTCACTTTAGCCTCAACACATAAAGCAGAGCCTTGGAAAGTAAAAGACACCTAATTAATATTTGTAGAATTAATGAAAGATGTATATAATAAATCCAGACCTATGATCTAATTTTCTGGCCAATTGATCCCTATAAGCCCTATCCCCAAGGAGAAAGTCAACTAACATAGAGTCAAGGAAGGTACCAAACTTTATTAAATCCTTGCTGTTACTTATGGCAAGAAGGTACTTTGGCTCCACTTTACAGATGAGAAAACTGAGTCTCCCAGAATGGAGACTGAGCCCGGGTTTTCTGACTCCAAGTCCCCAGTTCATTTCCCTATTCCATTCACCACATCTACATTTTCTCTGATTGTTTCCCCATCTTTAATGGTAGCATATGACTGACTGAATCAAGCTTCCATAAATGAAATAAGCAAATTCAGCTGAAGACTGCCTAGATCTAAGATGCAGTATTTGAAACCAGGTCATTCTTAAAGCAGCAACCAGTATCACGTGCTTTTCAACAACTGATAGCATCACTGTGGGGGAGCAGGGCGGGGTAAGGTGTTGTTTAATATTTAGACGGACTTGCCTGTGGCAAGTGAAGAGTGGAAGGGCTCCAGCAAATGTTGGTGTTCCCAACGTGATGTGCGGAGCCTTCCCAGGAGACATTCTTGGAGAGGAGAAGAGAGCCTGATACAGAAGGACTTATTATAACAAGGGTGATGAGGCTGAGATTTTGTAATCACAAGATTAAAAGCTTCTGCAAAGGAATCTAGACTTCCCTGGCAAGCCGGACCAAATAGGTTCCCCAATGATGAGACCCAAAGGTATTCTGAAATATCAACATGCTTTATAGATGAGGAAGAAATATGCAGGTGCATAAAAATCACATCCCCAAATCAGTCAGAGATGATGTGTCAAGGCCACTCAAACTGGGAACACACATTCTGGATTTGTGTCTACAAATTCAACAGGGTATGTGCTGTCTTCTGAGCTCTCTCAGTCTAGAACTGGATTTCCTGGACTTGGAGTTCCATGTTCTTGCAAGAGCATGTAAGCAAGATATCTTAGGAACTGAAAGGATTGGAAAGATACTATTGCAGAGGTAATTCAGTCCCACTGTTTCACTTTTTCAGAGCCTGAAGCTCATACGGGCTTCGTGGACTGTGCATCCTCACACGGAGACCTGAAGTCCCGGGGCCTCTCCTTGTCCACGTCCTCTCCACACAGTGTTTGAACCCCTGTGGGAGTGGGGTCTGGGAACCCCAAGATCCAAAGGTCACACATGAACAGGAAACTGTGGCTTTCACACAACTTAAACACCAAAGTATACACTAAAGACTCGGTCCTTCAGAACGCCGGGCAGTGAAGATGACGACCTGAAAAGTCACTGCTCTGCTGGTCCGTCTCATATTCAGGCAAGCTGGATGGGAGATGGAAGGTGCCCCAAAGGAGGATCTGGACAGACTGACGGGCTCCCATCGCCCCTGCAACAAAGAAGCCTGTCACCCCCACCAGAGTCCTGGCCTAAGCTTGCTCTCACTGCTGGCCATGCCAATCCCTGCGTGTGCATCTAAAAAGGTTAGCACATTCTGGGTACACAGACCGCAGCTTCCTCCCTACCCTCAGGGCCTGTGCTGAGAGGTCTAAGCATTGGGGAGACATTGCTTCACTTCTCCTTAGGGTGTCCACATCAAGACCCTGGAACCATCTTGCCACCCTTCCGGGTCGGGGGGGGGGGTGCCTTCTGGGCCAGTGGCAAGTGTCCTGGTAAAGGGACTTTTCTAGACTGGAGCATCTTATTACTAAATCAGACATACCAAGACACTTGCACACACCCACCGCAAGAAGGGAGACAGACATTAAATGACCAGTGACAGGACCCCCATCTACTGGTTCCCCCCTACAGTAACCTCATCTCAACTGACTCCTCACCCACACACTTTAAACTGGAGGAACCCAGACTCACAGAGGCTCCTTTTAACCCAATACAATCAGTAATCTCATCTCCAGATTTTCAAGTTCCTGCTGTTGGTGCCTTTTACTTAAGTCAGCATATTTCAAACTCTCAGAAGAAAAAAAAAAAGAAAACTTAGAAAATAAAACCACTACCCCACCCAAATGATAAAAATCTCTTGAATTCTCCAAGCCCAACATCTGAGCCTCCTCTTAGCCCTGAGCAAAGACTTGATTCCTTTGAGTTCGGGAATGGTGGGCTCTGCCAGTCCCCTCCTCACCAGCCTAATAGATTTTCCAGACCGGCTCGGGCTTGCAGTTGTGGGATAGCCTCGCAGCCAACTCCTGGTCCCATTCATTCCTCTCGGTCCTCTAAGGCCAGTCACATTAGGGGCTGTCCCTCCTCTCTGCTCCTGACCCCACTTCCCCCTTCCAGAGGGAGCAGACAGTGAACCCTCCTGAAGTCTGCGGTGAAACCCAGACCCTCACCCGTCCCTCTGGGCTGCACTTGGCAAGCTGGACCCGGGGGGGAGACGAGGGTAGGGGTGGGAGTAGGAAGGATCTGGCCACCTGGCAGTCCCCAGCGCGGCCGGCTCAGGGCTGCTCCCTTTAGGAGGAGCGGCTCCGCAGGCGAGGGACCCTCCTCGAGAGGCTGGAGGGAGTCCTGTCCCGGAGCTGGCGCAGCCCGGGCGTGGAGTCCGGGAGCCGGGCGTGCGGAGAGCCGCGCGGGCCGTCCGGCGAAGTGATGCCGGGCGGAGGAAAGGCAAGGCGAGTCCGGCCCTTTAGTCCCGGGGATCCGGCAGTTCCTGAGCGCCAAGAACCCGGCAACAGAAGGACCAAGAGGAAGGGAAACCAGCCCGCGCTGACATGTAAACAGGGCTTCCACCCGGAGGAGCCCGCGCACACAGATCCCCGGACACACTCACTCGTACCCCGATCCGCCTGCAACCAATCCACTTGCCCGCCCCTGGGCCCACCCGGCAGGAGACCCGGCTGCTGGCTGCTGCGCGCCCGCCCCCGCCGCCTTTGGCCTCGGGGGAGAGGAAGCCGCCGGCCGCCGGGCGGGTGCCTAGAGTTGGGACCGGGGTGCCCGGCTCGCCGGGTGGGTTAGGGGGCCCGGGAGGTCTCCGACCCCCGGCTGCGATGGGCCCCCGGCTCCCCGGTTTCACGCCGCCGGCCCCTCCCGCACGCAGTCCGGCCGGCAGCGCCGTGGGCGGGGGCCGGGCTCCGCTCCGGGGCAAGGGGTGCGGGGGAGATCGCCCTCGGCGCGGGGCCCGGCGGGTCGCCCCCGCCTGCGAGACTCGCCACCGGAGCGCGGGAGGAGACGGCGCGAAGCCGGGGTGCGGAAGGAAGGGAGAGTGGCCACGTCTTCCGGGACCCCGGCGCCCCGCGCCCAGCCTGCCCGCCGCCTCGCCGCCCCAGCCGGCTCCGCGCCCACCGACCGGTCGCTTACCTTAATAGTCCCGTCCATTTGGCCAAGTCTGCAGCCGAGCCCCCCAATATTCCACACATTGACCCGGTTACAGCCTGACCTCGCAGCCCCTTCGGATTAGCCCGGCGCGGCCTCTCTGGCGCCCTGGGCCCTCCCTGCGTGCCCCCCGCGAGCGCCCTGCCCTCGCTCCCCGGTGCACGTTTGTTGTTGTAGCGGAGCGAAAAAGAGACAGTTAACCGGATGAAACTTTTTTTCAGCTAATTTTGGGAAGTGACTTCACTTTGCGAATGGGGAGGAAGTCCTATCTCTCTCTCTCTCTCTCTCCCCCCCGCCCCGCTCCTGCTTTTCGCATCACACATACTATATAAATATACGCGGAGATGCCCAGATACATTCATGCGCTGCGCACACAGGATACTTGTTCCCGGGAGATAAGAGTGAGCTGGGAACAATGCCGGGGTCCACGCCCGGCGCTCGCGCCCTGATTCCCAAAGTCTGCACGAAACCCCCCCGCCCCCCTCCCCAGCCTTCCCCCAAAGTCCAAGACCGAACGCCTTTGGCCTCCTTCCTTTTCCCGGGGCCGTTGGCCGAAGGTGGCCCTCCTGACTCATTCACTTTCCGTTTCTTCCCACAGATACGTTCATTAATGTCTTTTCCAGCCGGAGTCAAACTTTTTTGGGGGGTGGGGGGCGGAAGAGTTTACTGGGGCTAAGGATAACCTGGAGCCTACCGCCCGGGAAGATCCGGACGCAGACCGAAGCCGACCGACCATTCGAAAGTGCATCCAATGGGAAGTTTTCCACTCCGGGCCCTCGGCTGCGGAGTCGCGCAGACTCGCGGAGCAGCCGCTCACCCAGCGACGCGGACGCCGGGAGGTTGCGGACCGACCCCGGCCGTCGGGGGCGTGGACTCGGCTCCGATCGCTGCGAGCCTAGGGACGCCCTCGGGGCGGCGCGCCTCGGTCCTGGGCTACTGGAGAGCTCCCGGCGCCCGCCGAGGGATGGTCCCTGCGGCACCCCAGGCCACCTCTCCGCGCCTTCTCGGTCAACCCCCTGGCGCATAACCCCGACCCGAAGGCCCAAGCCCTGGCGCCCGGGTCTCAGCCGCCCAGGCAATGCCACCTTGGGCCCCAAGAAACCTACGCTACGACGAGATGATCCGTCCAGGCTGGCCGGCGGGTCTGCAAAGCCCAGCAGGCAGCATCCATGAACCGCCCCAGTCTTCTCGCGGGGAGACCCCTGGGGACGATACTCCAGACTGTCACCCCATCCAGCCCTGAGGCCAGCCTCCCCTCGGCCCGCCCTACAGGGCCCTGCGACCCGGAGGCCTCCCGAGTCCCCCAGCACTGCCCCCCTCCCGCTCTAGCTGGGGCACCGATGGGGACCCTCGGGTGCTCTCGGCCTGACTCGTTTCTTTCTCCCCGACTTCCGAAACAGGTTACCTTGTCCACGCTCTCCAGACCACGCTTTGGACTTTCGCACTTTTATTTAAGAGTCCATCCGGAGAAGGAGGGGGGGAAAAATCCAGAGGAGATCCGAGTCAATTGGAAAGAAAAAATTTCAAAAGGGTGTCCACAGCGGCGAAAAAGGTGACTTATTAATTCTTTATTTCTTCAGGAGCACTTGAGCCCGAGAGCTCGTTGGCCTCCCTCCCTCCCTCCCCCCACCCCCCTCTCGAAATTAGTCTCATCAATTCAGCTCCAATTTTGGGTTCGAATACAGACACGGGTCTGAACGTGACCAGACCTGGAGTGGCGGGTGGGCCGGCCCCCCCACCTCCTGTCTGCTTCTCAATCCAGGGGTCTGCTCGGGGGCTCCCCTGGGACCGCCACATCTGGTTACCGCTAGCGGGGTCAGTCCCCCCCTTGCCTGGGGCCACCAGTTCTGGAGTTCAATTAAAAGAAATCAGGCTTAACCCTTTCCTCCCCTCAGCCCCGCCACCCGCCCTCTCGCTCTTCTCTTCAGCATTTCCACATGCTTTCCAGAGAGGAAAGAGGTTAAAGGGAAAGGAAGAATGAATTACATCCTTTCAAACCCCAAATTGTTTCCTTTTCAGCCCAGACTCTGCCGACCTTCAAACGACAACAAGGCTTTCAGGAGGGCGCAGGGAGACGGCTTCCCACCCAGATCCGACCAGAAACCGGGCACCCTCGGCCACATTCCCCCTCTTGCAGGCCTTGAGAACTCCACTCTACCACCACCGGAGGCCCCCTTGCTGGCACTGGGCAAACACTCAGGCCCTAATGGCCACCGCAGGCCAGCCAGTGGCTCCCCTTTCTACACCCAGTCCTCCCGACACTTGAGAAGCTAGGCCAGGCAACTCTTCCCAGCTCCTATCCCAGCAGCTTATAACAGACTGCATTCACTGCTCTGGTCAGTAAGTCACCCCAGCATCCCTCGTACCCCCTCAACTCCTTTTAGCAGGAGCTGCCTCTCCTCTTGGGAGAACTCAATGGGGGACGAGATTAAAATGAAAACTTGCCCTCCTGTCTGAGCTGTGGAACTCAACAGCACTTTCTTTTTCTGCCTGTAAAACCAGAGCTTCTGGCAATTTTGTAATTTTGAAGGTGGCGGGGAGGGGGAAGAGGCTGGCATTGGCATAGCTGTCATCCTTTAGTGAGTCACTGACTGGCACTGATGTACCTAGCTTATGGTATTTACCAGCCCCTCCATGAGGAGCTCCTGTCGGTTCACAAGCTAGTCTTCCCACAAAGAAGGGCCCCTGCCCCAACTCTGAACAGCCGTCAGAGAGAATCTGAGCCTCCTCGCAACCGGTGTTGGCATGGTGGTGGGCAAAGCTGCCCCCTTATGTAACTCTGGGTTTGAAGTCCCACTCCATGGCTGCTGCTGCTTTTTTAAATCCTGAAGGGGGAAAGAAGCCCTAACCAAACACAACAGTAAACAAGTCTGCCCTGTTTAATGTGGTTACCACCAGACATCTGGAAAGATGGTTTGATCCTGGCAGCTCACATTGTTTTCACGAGCAGCCAAAGAGAATATTTCGAATGTTTGCATTGAGACAAATTGATAGAGAGCCTGTGGTGAGGCGGCTGCAGATGAAAACTGTCTTGAAGCTGGGCAGGGGGGAATCCTCTCCCCTTCTCTTGCCTCTCCCCACCCCTTCTCTATCTTGACCCCCTCTTTTGCCCTTTCCCTTTTCCCCCTCCTCTCCTTTCTCCAGGCCCGACTAGGGGCTGGTTGGTTATCCCAACCCACACACTTGCTCACACCCTTTTCCTGGCTCACCAGAGACTGCCCTGCCTCTCCTTTTTCCAGACTGGGCTGGGTTGGTGAGCTGCACCTGGTGCCCGCTACCATCCTGCCCACCCCACCAGCCCCGCTGGCTTTCAAGTCCGAGGAAGCTCACAGCCGAGGAAGCCTTGGACCAGCGCTTAAAACAAAAACTATCCACTGGGGGAGCGAGGCGGGGGTAGGGGGATGGGGAGTGGACGGACCAACAAAACAGTCCATTACACAGTTCTAAGTCTAAGGTCACTTGCAGAAAGCATGGGGGGGGGGGGGGGCGCATATTCAGGAAACTTTAGGACTTGGGGCATTTTTCACTGCAATTGTGGTGGGGTGACTTGCCTCTAACCATCCGCACGCACTTGACAATATTTTCAAAGATGCGGAAGTCCTGCTTCCCCCGGGAGGGGAGCGGCGGGGGTGAAACGTGTCTTGGCTCGCTCAATGTCAGCCCTTTTGACCCGGTCAAGACTTTTCCAGACGAAGCTTCCCCGGGTTTCTTCGGCCCCGGCCCGGGTTGGGGGTGGGAGGACGCGACAACCGGAGCCGGGTCCCTGGGGTGCCTCCAGACCTCGGGACGGCCGGTCACTTGAAACCCCCGAAAGATGCCAGGCTTGGCAGAGCGTGTGGGGCGGGTCCTTCCCCCTCCGGCCTCCCTCCTCGCGGCCCCTCCCGTCCGGCCGCCTCGGCGGGTATTCGAACGGGCAAGGCGGGTGGGGGAGGGGGGCGCGGGGGAGGGATGGGCGAGAGAGCGCCAAAACTCCAGACTGCACAACTGCAGCTTCAAGTGTCTGGCCCCTCGCTCGAGGCCATAATTAATTTGAGATTTATTTTTATTGGAGAACTCGAGTCTCGTCTGACCTTAGCCAAACAAGGCAGCTCGAGCCGCCCCCTGGACGCGCTTGAATGCCGGGGAATATTTCTGCAGGAAGGCTCTGCAGGCGCGCCTGCTTTGAATTTGTTTCTCAGACTTCATCTACTCACAGATTGAAGGAAGATTTAGAGCCTCTACCGGCCCGGCCCGCTCCCCACGCTCGTTCTTGCCTTAGCGCCAAGAGGGTTCAAAACGCTACGTGGGAGGCCGCGGCGGCGGGAGGGCCCGGAGGGGGAGGGTCTCTGCGCCCCGAGCCCGTGGCGCTCCAGGGCTGGGTCCCCAGACCACGCGGCGTCGAGGAGGAAATCCCAAGGGAGTCGGAGACTGACCAGAGAGCGCAGACTGACAAGAGGTGGAGACCAGCCAGGTGCCGGGACCCTCACCCGGTGGCGGCGCCTGGATGGGGGGCTTGGGGGAGGGGAGAATTCGCCCTCTCCCAACCTCCAGCCGCCCGGCCTCCTGGCCGCTCCAAACAACGTTCTAAGTACAGACCTGTGTCCTTGAAACGCCGTTTCAGGACCTGTCGGCCAAATGCTGCCCCTGGGCCGTGCCGCTGCGAACATTCTGGGGCTGCCAGCCTCCTCTCCTCTGGTTGGGGGGGCAGGGGTGTCTCCCCCAGAGTGCGGGGTGGGCTGAACCAGCAGGCGGGTTGGTGGGGGAGCGAGAACTAGGTAGGAGTCATAGACGGAACGTGCAGGACCCTGCCAGTCTCGAGTGGGGCGGCTTGGGGCCTTCAGGGATGGGCTTCCGGCGCTCGGACTCTCAAGTGCCTTGTCCCGTGCGGGCACCTCGCGAGGACCGGGTCCGGGTTACTCCAGTGGGTCTCCTGCCCCTCCCCGCTATCAGCAAGTGGAACGTCCTAGTGGACGTTCGCACTGGGAAGCCCGGCTCCGTGGGTTTGTGTTCTAGCTGTGCACCTACCCGCTCTGTGGCCTTGAACAGGTTGCTTAACCTCTCTGTGCCTCGGCGTCTTCGTCTGTGCGTCGGCGTTTTAAGAGGATCTACCTCAAAGGGCTGTTGTAAAGCTGAGGTGAGTGTTTAGACCTCGCCTAGCAGTCTGCACAACTTTGCCCTCCTTGTTTGTATCTTGGCTCTGTCCCTGGCAACCTGTGTCACAGTCATGTCTCAATGCCTCAGTTTCTCATTTACAAAATGGACCACCTCCTAGGGTTGTTGTTACTATTCAACAAGTTAGTACAGATAAAATGCTGTCCCCCTTTCCCTTGCTCTTTCCAGCCTCAAGCCCGCCTTACGCGCTCTCCTGCGCGGTCTCCTTTGAGCACCTGGAATCTAGATCGCTGCCCTGGTGCAGCGGGCACCGTTGGTTCCCCAGGGCCCGGCTCCTGTCCTGACTCCTGGGGCCCGGGTGCCTGGACCCCCGGGGTTTGTCAACAAGCTCGGAGCCGAGTGCCTGAGGCGGAATGGCAGGGGCTTGGCAGCCGGGGACTGTTTGTGCCCCTCTGGCGAATGGCAGGCGTAGGGAGCCTGCGGAACAGACCCAAGATTGTCCGCGCCACGCGGACCTCTCGCACTCATCAATGCACCCCTTTGTGCAACAATACAAACTTTGTGGCTGCTGAAAAATCCATTTTTTCCCCTTGAAAAGAGCTCCTGCGGCGAGCGGCTCCCCTGGCGGCCAGAACTCATAGACTGCCGCCCCCAACCCCTCCCCAGCGGTCCCCTCCCAGCGGCCGGGACCGTTTGCTGTCTCTCTGACTCTTGGCCTGGGGTCAGGCTCGCGGGCTCCCTGAGGTTTTGGGTCCCCGGGTGTTTTCACACTCGAGGGGTCCCAGAGGATGGGAGAGGGACGACAGCTGCCCGCCCCAGGGCCCTTTGCAGCCTTTGGGGCAGAGCCGGGAATGAGAGCTGGGTTCGCCGTGCCCTGCGTCCCGGGAGCGGCGGGCTGGGAGGGGTGACCGCGTCCTTAACCTCTCGGGAAAGCTGGACACCGCGAACCCAGCACACGGTAGTCTAAGTCTGCTCTGCCACCTCCTGGGAGACACCGGTCCACCCTGCCGTTCACTGACTAGCCATCCACTGATTCAGTCGTTTTTCATTCATTCATCACCGAGAGATTAAACACCCCTTCCCCTCCAAGCCTCCAAAACCTGGCTTCCCCAAAGTGCCTTAGAGACACCTTCAGACCGCAGGCGGGGAAGGCGCTACTTGGTGTGAGCGGATTTCCTTTAAGAGAAACAGGAGCAGCGATGGACGCATAACCGGCGCCCCCAGATAAGACCCGAGAGTGCCCACGCCATGGAGGTCCCGGGTCCTTTCGGGCGGTCACTCCACGCAGCATTAGCGGACACTGGACGCAGAACGAGGGGGCGGGCGGGGGGGACTCTCAGGGCGGAGTTTCGAGAAGGAGGGGGCGGGGTCGAGACCCAAGAAGCTGGGAGTACTTTTGACAAACCGCAGTGGTCCTTCCTTTTCCGAGCTGGGGAGGCTCTGGGCCGCTACCTGGAAGGCGGGAGGTCGCGCCTGGGCGGCGAGAGGACCTCCCCGCGGTCCCCACCCCGGGCGGGTCCTCACCCTCGGCCCCGCCCTGCTGGCGGATTTTCACTAAACGTGTAACCCAGATGTCCTGGCCTCGGTTTGTTTACATTCTTGGGAACTGTTGTGGAAAAGGAAAAAAAAAACCTAACTCCTTTCGACATACTGTCAAATATAGGAATCTGCGCTTTCGAGAGGCCGGTGGGGCCAAGGAAGCTGGGCTTGAGGACTGGGGGCTATCGAGCTCATAGGAAGAGCGCGCCGCGGTCACTCGCCTGCATCCCCACGGACACGAGCGCACGCCCACACTCACACTCGCGTCCACGCACACCCTCGACGCGGGGGAACCTGCCGTGAGCGGCGCGGCGTGGGGCGCACGACCTACAGGGGCCGGACGCTGGCCCGCGGGTCCCGGTGCGGGTCTGGGCTTCCCTGCAGCGCGCTCGCACACCATTCTCCCAACCGAAGCGGCCGAGAGTCTTCGTCCTCAACCAGGCATCCCCCATCCGATTTAGTTAGGGCCCCTGGTCTAGACACACCTGCAGAGAGAGCGGTCCGTGGCCCCCACCTCTTTAACGGGAGAAAGGAGAAAGGGGCTCTAGGTCTGGGCAGAAGGTGGAGGGCGGGCTGGGGTGGGGGTGGGGGTCATTACCTGTTTAAAGACGCTGTCTTGTCTTACCTTGACGTAAGACGACGTGTCAGGGACTGTCTGAAACATCCTGGGTTGGTGAGGAAGGGTCAGGAAGGCCCAAGGACCAACCTGTGTGGAAGAAACCTCAGTCACTGGCGAGTGGCGCAGGGTGAGTCCCTGGGGGTATGAGGGAGAAGGAAAAAAGAGAGAGGACAGGAAAGCTGCAGGGTGGGGGGTGTGACTCCAATCCATCTGGACCAGAGAGGGAGGGGGTACTCCGGTATCCTTGCCTTTCCTTGGTTCTATCCCCCAGGCGCCAGGCTAAGGGGTGTCTCTTTCCTACAGACCTGTAACCTTCATCTATAGGCAATAGGAGACACCCTTCACCCCCAGGGCTTTCCTAGTCTCCTACCTGGAGGGGCGGGGGGGGGGGGGGTGAGTGGCGGGGAGGGGGTGCCTTGGCCAAAGAGGTGGCAGCTAGTATAGAGGTAGACCCCCTCACCGGTGCCACTGAAGGCCCTAGGAAACACATCTATAGAGTTGCCAGCCCTGGGGCCCTGGGAGCACAGACCTGCTTGACCTACCACCCCTAGGGCTCCACCAGCAACCCTCTGTCTCCCTCTTCCCTGCTGGGGGGCCACTTACAAAGGTACCCTGGCTAAGGTTCCAGAGGTCT